CTTTACGAGTCATCTGAAAATATGATTTCTTCCCCTCACCACAGAGGTGAGAGGTATCAATGAGATAACAGGGCTCATGAGAAACCACAGTTTTTTAAACAAAAGTGTGTAGAGTTAGAAAAAAAATATAAGGGAAAAAAACTCAAACAAATCACGGAGGCGTCCCAAGCAGGCAGAGACATCACTCTATGTGTGTGATGGGATGGGAAACACCAGGGAAAGAATCTGAATAGGACTGGTTTTCCAGAGGCTTTGCCTTGCTCTATGCCTCAGTTTCCTCTTAGGGAGAATTGGTCATCACTGCTCTTACTGCCCAGGGAAGGGAAGCTCTGCATCCCATCTTCCCACAGAGGGTGAGGGGCATGGAAGTTATTTCATGGAGAAAAATGCAGGGAGTCCCTCTCTACCCCCCTCCCCAACAATTCACAGAATCGAAAAGTCTGAGAATCACTGGCTCCCAGAATCCATTTAGCATCAGTGAGTGAGGAAAGGGAGAAAAGTCTTCTCGCCTCACCATGTCGTAGGGCCTGAGAGCTCTGACCTGGAGAGTATCCTACAGGGAAGGTCCTGACGAGGCCCTTGGTGTTAATGCATCCATCCTCATGAAGGCCAGAGACCCCCTGGGACCCCAACGGCCTCGTGGTCAGGGACACCATGACCTGATGCTTCTGAGACTCTCAGCCTTTGCGATTTTCTACTTCGACAAATCCTAGCTTCCAAGGTTTTAAGATTCCAGATTTCCACCGTCATCCCCATAGCTGACACTAATCTCCAGTTTTCTAGGTGCCAGACATAGTATTGACTGAGTCTCACAAATGATCACATTCAGTCCTCACTGCAGCCTGTTGCGGTCCGTCTTGTCATCATGGCCGTCCTACAGATGGGAAAACAGAGGCGCTGAGTAGTTGAACAACTTGCTCAAGATGATAGAACCTGGCAAGTGGGGGCTCTGCTTTCTTTGCTGTTGGGCTTAACAACCCTAAGGTTTCCTCAAGCCCAATAGTCTTGGGTTTTAAATTCTAGGGCGCAATGACAGAGAAGCTCTGAGATTTGGAGATTCTTCTGGGGGCTTGAAGCTTGTGAGGTTTTACGGTTGTCCAAGAATTGGTGGCTGCATTTCCTTACTTCAGCAGTGACCCCCTCTAACCAATGGTCAACAGAGGAGACCAAGCTCCAGGGACTTCTGATAGGTTGTGGTTGAGGCTCCCAGTCCCCGGTTCCTCAGTGCCCTGCATGGCCCAGGGTTGTCATCCAACGTGTACTCCAACTCCTCTGCAAGACTGGTTTCGGGCCTGGGGAAGAGAAATTGGAAACCGCTTTTTATTCACATGATACAAACCCAGTGGCTGAGACCCACTCCTTCGCCCCTTCACCTTTTTTCTCCCCTCCCTCCACCTCCCAAGTCCTGAAAAAAAAAAAAAGGAGAGCCTCTTTCCTTAACTCAGACTCACCTTTCTAGAAAAGCCCAAAGGGGGCCTGATGGCCTGGCTGTGTGAAGATAAGAAAAGAAAAAAAAAAAAAAAAGGTGAATAGAAAAAAAAGAGACCTAAAAAAATCAGCCAACAACAATTAACAAAAAAAAAAAAAAAAAAAAAAAACCAACCAACCCTCCCTACCATTAGTTCAAAACAAGACTTTTCACTGGTTGAGGCTTCTGAGTTGGTGGGACACATCTGAGGCCCAAAGGTGTCCTGTGTGCATAGGGCAGCCAGGGGAGGCACCAAAGTGGAATGAGGTCCTCAGGTTGGAGCCTGCAGGGACTTCATGTACAGCAGGGGCTTAACAGGTGTGGCATGTGGCTGGGAGCAAAACGGTGTGAGGAGCTTGTTCATCAGGAAGGAGTCCTGGGGAGCTGACTTTAGGGATGTTCCCAAGGCTAATGACCCCTTGTTCCTCATGGACTTGGGTCTCAACATTCTTTATACTCCCTGTATAACTATAAACTAGGCCATTTCTAGAGGCCAAGGCCTCATTCCTTGCCCCAGGACCTGTCCCCTCTTGAGAGACAGGGCTGGTTTTCTTTTACAGCGCCAGAGGTATGGGCTGCATCCTCCTGATACCCTCCCTAGGCCATCTGTCCTTTATTGTCACTCGCTCCGTGAGACGAGTGCCCAGAGAAATAGGGGTAGTTGAGTGAGGGTGGTGGTCCAGAGTTCCAGGAGGCCGCTTGAGTGGGGCTGGGGGTGTGGGAGGGGTGATGCTGCTGCTGCTGAGAGCCAGGACCATTGCAGAGTGAGGGCTGGGGGGGTCAGCTGGGCAGAGAGGGGCAGGCAGAGGTCACCACCTCCTCTCTGTACTGGACTACATCCTCTTGTGTGGAAGACTTCTTTTTAAAAAAAAAAATTATTTTTTTTTTAGAGAGAGCGAGTGTGCTCGCTTCGGCAGCACATATACTAGAGAGAGTGAGCAATCGAGCAGGGGAGAGGGGCAGAAGGAGAGAGAGAAAGGATCTTAAGCAGGCTCCGCACTCAATGCAGAGCCCAACGTGGGGTTCAGTCCCACAACCCTGGGATCATGACCTGAGCTGAAATCAAGAGTCAGATGCTCACCTGACTGAGCCACCCAGGTGCCCCTCGTGTGGAAGGCTTCTCGGGGAGAGTACATAGGGTTACACAGACACATCCGTGAAAGTCCCCAGAGAAGGGGCGGCCTTTGACAAAGACTTGAAGGAGGTGAGGAATGAAGCCATACAGACATCTGAGTGACTCCAAAGGAAACAGCCAGCTCAAAGGCCCTGAGGTGGGAGTGTGTGATTTGCTCCATGTTTAGGAAGATGGTTGGTGTGGTTAGAGTGGTGTGAGCAAGAGGAAGAGGGGAAGGAGGTATGGTCAGAGAGGGGACTTGGGGGTTAGACCATGCAGGACCTTGTAGCTCATGGTAAGGGCTTTGGCTTTTACTCTGAGTAAGGAGCAGGCCACAGAAGGGTTAGGAGTACAGTAGAGACATCAACTGCTTTAGGATTTAACAGGATCTCTCTGACTGCTGAGTGTAGAACAGACTGTAGGAATGAAGGTGGAAGCAGAGGCACCAGAGACGAGGAGGCTACTGTAGTAGCCCAGTGACTGATGATGGTGCTGGCAGTGGAGAGGGTAAGGAGAGGGTGGATTTGGGAAATATTTTGAATGGAGGGCTAACAGAATTTGTTGAAGGACGAGAGTCCTGGGCCCAGACCAGGACACAGGTAATACCTTAACAAGAAGTCAGGAAAAAAAATTCTATCTTGTGTAAGCCCCTATTCTTTTGTGATTTTTTTTCCTGTTACTTGCAACTGAATATATTCCTTCCTAACCCATGACCTCACCCTGAACACTGAGACTTAAGGAGGGGGATGTGACGGGGGGGGGGAATCTCTTCTTTCCTAGGGATGCTGTGAGTTAGAACCTTGCATACAATAGGTGTTCAGAAAACCCTCCAAGGATGGAGGGGGGATGTATGAATGGCCATGCTCAGTGGGCAAATGCTACATTTCAGTTCCTATGGGAGGCAGGACCTTAAAGAGAGAATGGAAAGGATGAGGAAGCAGGAGGAGCAGCGCTCGTGGGAGAGGGAACAGCAGGAGCAGAGATGGAGGACAGAAAGAGGGAAGCAAGCCCATGGAGTGCGAGTGGGACAAGAAAGACGGGACTTTGGTTCGTAATTACATTAGTTGATGTCTGCCAACACATCCAACCAACTCCTGGTGGCATACAGTCAGGCTCAGTGTTTTGCTGAGCTCAAGTTAGAAAAAGCTCATTTTCCAGAAAAAGTCAACTTCTCATTTGGCCATTCTTTCAACAATAGTGCCAAGTCCTGGAGAATGCCGAGGGTGACAATCAAGGACATTCTTGGCTAGTGTCACTGCTCAAGCAAAGGTTCCGAGGTGGGCAGGGGAGACCCAATAACTGTGACAGCTGAGTCCATTTTGCTTCCTTAGACCTCACACTTGGGAGCAGTCTAGGGCATTCACAGCCCCGGGGAAATCAGAAGTCACGAAGGGCTAAAGAGAAAGTAAATCCAACCACAAGATCAATGCTCTCCCTAATGGCTGCGTGCATCCTACGGCTGTGCGGCCCAAGACACCCCAGTCTGTCTACACACCATCCCCTCCTCTGGCCTCCTTGTTATTGGTTGTTCATGCCCTCCTTCACACAACCTACAACATTCCGGTTGGCTCTGCTCTTTCTCGTTCCGCCTCTGAGTCCAGCCTTCCCGCTACACTTTCTAGCCTTGACATTGGCTTATTTCGTGCTAGCACTGCCCTTTGAGGGCTCAACTGCCTTCATTCTGATCCCTCATTGGTTATCTGCCAACTCTCTCTTCCTGGCTCCCGCCTCCATGGTCTACTCCCATTGGACCTGCCCCTCCAGTCCCGCCTCCGAGGCCGCTCTAACACCGTCCCTTGGTCTCTTTCTAGCCTAGTTCAGCCCTGGCACCGCCTCCTGAAGGCATAGTGCAAGCTCACAAGACTCCCCATTGGCTCGCTGTAGCTATTATCTTAACGTCATCTCCTATACGCAACCGACGCGTAGCTCCCCATTGGCTATTCGCAGTTTCTATCATCGCGTCCCACCGCCTACGCAACCAAGGGATTTCCTACTTTTCGGGCCTCTCCGTTCGCTCCCTACTGTCCCCATCGCCTGTTGTTATTCCATCTTCCCCGTTGCCCACATGCCGCTCCCGCTCCCCCACTAGCTATCCTACTTTTGCTCTTTTTATCCCAGGCCCCGCACCACCCCCATTTAGACCCCTTCCCATTGATTTCCCGGTCATCCCGCCTCCTGCACCGCCCACTCTCGGGCATCCTCATTGGCTACGTGCTTCTCCTGCACTTGAGTCACTGTACGTCATCCGTGCGCGGCTCCCCATTGGTTCTCTGCTATACCTGTCTCCATCTCACCGCCTACGCCCCCCGTGAGCCGTACCCCCCCCCGCGCTGGCCTTCCCATTGGCTGCCCGCCCCTCCAGGCCCTGCCCCCGCCGGTCCCGCCACCGGTGCCGTCGGTGCCGCCGCCGCCGCCGGTATGGCGCGCCCGGCCCCTGTGGAGCCCCCGCTGCGGCATCCTGCGCCCCCCTCGCCGGCCGTGGGCGAGCCCCGCACCTCTGTTGAGGCAGCGGTGGCCCCGCGGAGAGTGCTGTTCGCCGACGAGGCCCTGGGGCTGCCGCTGGCGCAGCTGCGCCGCTACCGGCCGTGGGGCGGGCCCGGGGCGGGCAAGATGGCGGCGGCGGCCGGGCAAGATGGCGACGGCGGCGGGGCTGACGAGGACGACGATGGCGAGGATGGGGATGAAGGGGAGGAGGAAGAGGAGGCTTGCCCTGAGCCCTCGCCGCTGTGCCCCGTCCCCGCTGGCAGGGGTTTTTACCTGGTGCCCACATTTTCGCTGCCGCCCGCGCCTGGCCGTCTGGAGCGCTTGGGGCGCGCCATGGTGGAGCTGGAGGCGCTGCTGCCGCCTCCTGGAGCGGTCCCCGGGGGTGCCGGGGTGTGGGTGCCCGGGGGACGCCCGCCTGTGCTGCGCGGGTTGGTACGCGTGCTGAACCGCTCCTTTGAGAAGGCGGTGCACGTGCGGGCCTCACACGACGGCTGGGCTTCCTTCTGCGACCACCCAGCGCGCTACGTCCCGCGCAGCCCACCGGGGGCAGGAGCGGGAGCACCAGGAGCAGGAGATCCCATCCTGGATCCCGGCCTGGGCCTGGGCTTGGGCCCTGGCCAGGCGTCCGCCTCCTCGCCCGACGACGGCGGCCGCACCGACCGCTTTGCCTTTCAGCTGCCCTTTGCTGAGGGCGCGGGCGATGGGGCGCGCCTGGACTTCGTGGTGCGCTATGAGACCCCCGAGGGCACTTTCTGGGCCAACAACCACGGCCGCAACTACACAGTCCTGCTCCGGATCGCACCCGCTCCCACACCCACTGATGCTGAAGGGCTGCCCCAGCAGCAGCAGCTGCAGCAGCTGGAGCCACAGCCCGAGTGCCAGGGTCCCGTGGAGGCTGAGGCCAGGCAGCTGAAGAGCTGCATGAAGCCGGTGAGGCGCAGGTAATGTCTGCCAGCGCCACCTCCGCCAACACAGGGCAGTGTCTAGGATGGAGGACAAGTATCCCGACCCAGGAACCCCGCAGGCCTGCTCTCCAGGACAGGGAGGAGGGCGCATTCAGTTAGTCAAAGAGTAATAGAGGCCAAACATGTGCTAGGCTGTTTTAATTACTGGGGTTTCATTCATTCATTTATTGAATTCCACTGTAAAGCCCAGAATCAGACAGACCTCTTCCCTGCCCTCAAGGATCATACAGGCTCCTATCGTAGAAGGTTTGGAAAAACAAACAAACAAACAAACAAACAAACCTGCCAGCAGATAAGATAAATAGGTATAAGATTAGTTGCTGAGAGGAAAGTGAAAAAACGGGATAGTTTGGAGGGAATAGCTGATTTAAAGTGTTCAGGGAAGGCCTTTTAAGGAGGTGAGTCTTGGATGATCATAACAAGAGTCATGCATAGATAATGGGTGGGGGGAGCAAGTTTGTAGAAAATGGAACAGGGAGGACTTTTCTGAGGAGGTGCCATTTCAACTGAGTCCTGAATGATAAAAGAGGAGTGGTTATGTACACATGGTAGCAAGGGTGTTCCCAGGCAGAGGGAAGAGTGAGTACAAAGGTCCTGAGGTGAGAATGAGCTTGGTGTGAATGATGAGCAATGTGCGGGAGTGGACAGAACTTCAGTGACAGTAGTGTGGACCAAGGGCTTTGCCAGTGGGGACAGGGAATCTGATCCCCATTTGGCAGAGCAGCAAACCAGGGGATCCAGAGGGAGAAACTGGTTGAGGAAGTGATGGTGCCTGGCTTTTCCAGTTCCACCATGGCCGACCCGGAATCCTGTGCATCTAGATACTGTTAATGTTCTAATCTAGTGTGAGGCTTTCTGCAGGATTGAGGGGCTGAGTACATGCTCTCCCAGGGAAGTAGTGGCTCTGGCAGAGGCAGAACCATATGGGCTTGGATTTGAAGCTCTTGTGCTTTGTTTTTGCCTGTGGCCGTTCAGAGCCTGGGAGAAGGAACCAGTTAATCCCAGGAGGCCCTGATAGGAGGCTAGGTTTTTTCAATCAAGCTAAGAGTTCTTTGAGGGTAGCAGCTAGGCCTGATTGTTTTGAGGGGGGAGTCACCTAAGTCTAGCCTGGGATAAGTAGTCTCTGTGCATGTGTGGGAAGTGCATACGTTTCCCTGCTTCTTGGAGGACTGGAAATGGGGACGGGAAAATGTGTTTTGGACCTTGTATATGCTTGATCAGAAGCCTCTGGCTGCAGCAAGATGTTTGTCTTCCTGGCAAGGCCTTAGGCTGAGTGAGTGGTTCAGAAAGGTCTAGCTCGGGGCTGGTGGGCAGATGTGTCTGGGTATGTGAGCAAGCAGGCAAGCACCCACTTACTGACTTGTGAACTCCACAGTAACCTGTGATTTAGTTTAAAAGGGGCGGGCAGCATGCCTTTCTTCAGTGTTAAGAGAGTGGATTCTGACATCAGAGTGCCTCAGTTCAAATTGCAGCCTTGCCATCTATTGGCTTTGTGAGCTTGGCTAACTCATTTGACTGCACTGTGCCTCAATACCCTCATCTGGAAAACAGATTATTATAACACCTACTTCACAGGAGATGAGTAAAAGCCCTCAGAACCAAACCTGGCTCATAGTCATGCCAGAAAGTGTTATCTAGTGTTTATATTTGTATTTAGGGAATCACACATGCCATTCATTGGATACCCCTCCCAAATGCTTCTCTGCCCATTACCTGCTGTGTGGCCTTGCCTCAGTTTCTTCATCTGTAAGCCTCAGTTTTCTCATCTGCTAAAGGGGAATGACAGTCACTTTGGGTGGATTGGATGCAGTGAACATGGGCAAGGTACTGAAGCGGGAGGGTAGCTGTGAAGGATAATAGTGGCCAGCATTTACTGATCTCTGCGCTGAGAGCTTCAAGTCTGTTCTCTCCTGAGCCCTGCTGTGCATGCTGTGTGGTATAGGTCCTCTGATATGCATGTTTAAGAAAGGAGGAGACTGAGGTAGTTCAGGGAGGTGAGCTAGTTTGCTCAAGTCCACTCAGCTAGTGAGTGACAGGACCAGGGAGGACATACTAGGGACATTTTTTTTTTCCTGCTATCCTGGAAGGTCTGACCGGGTTCAGGGAAAATTATGCATTTCACTCCTGGTATTCCTGGCAGCTCACGCCTTCCTTTTATCTTTTCTCTGTCTCTGCCTCTGTCTCTCTGTCTCTGTCTTTCTTTCTCTCTTTGTCTCTGTCTCTTTGCTTTTTTGAGGCATACCTATACAAGGTATACTGCTCTTAAGTGTAGGGTTCAGAGGATTTTTACATGATGCTCTTGTGTAGCGATTACCCAGATCAAGGTTTCAAGTGGTTGCAGTGCCCCAGAATTGCCTTCATTTCTGTCATTTCCTAAGTTGTCTTCTCAGGTGGCTGTCATGGGAGCCCTGTCTGTAAGATGCGGCAGTTTGAGTAACAGAGTTTGGTCATCTTAGTGTGTAAAAGGAAGAGAACAGAGAAATCAAAAGCTCACAGGGCCAAGGTGGGTGGGGAGGGTGTTTTTCTTTTAAAATACATGGGTGGTTTTAAGGAGAAATTGAAGCAGCCCGTTCAGACAATTGTTTTGGTATCTGGCCCCAGGTCTGTGGTTCCTAACATGACTTGTGATATTATTTTAAGTGGGCAGATGGCTTTTGGATAGCTTCTTTATCTTTTGATCTCAGCTCTTGCAAAGGGGAGGTTGCTGCTCATTGCAAGATCAGCGGTAAGATTTTCTTTGTAGGTCGGTGGCTTCCTTGGCGAGTACATTTCAACTTATTATCATTTTAAAAGCCGTGTGCTGCTGGTGACATGGAGTGCTGTTGAAGAACAGCTGCCCCCCCTCTTGCGACCCAGTCCTCTTGGGAAACGATCTCAGGGGATAGGCTTAACATGCGGGAGCCCCGTGGCAGGGGCTCCTAGTTCAGAGGTGTGAGCACGGGACACGGGAAGTCTCTGGTAGCCACTGGGATACTGGAATACAGCTCAGAGACTGAAATGGCTGCATTCCCTGGATCGCTGGACCAGGCTTTTGATAACTCTTTGGCTTGGAGATGATCCATCAACAAGCATTTGTTGAGGGCCTACTATGTGCTGGGCACAGTGCTAGGTTCAAACAGGGAAAAAGTTGCAGACTGACACTAAGATGTCAAAGGGTTTATGGTAGAACTGGGTGGGAGAGGCAGGTACCGAGGGCTTTTGTGAGTCTTGGCGGAGCCCCTGCTCTGTGTTGGGCATTTTGCTGAGGGTTTGCATGCACAGTCCTCATCTAATCCTTTCAACATTTCCCTGGGAGAGAGACTGTTTTTACCCCTTTCTCCTGGATGAACAAACTGAGGCTCCCAGAGTCCTAGGGCTGGGTCAAGAGGAGCCCTCCTGGTCTGCCTTGACTTAGCACCCTTAGGAGGTGTCCTAGTCCTCTTAAAAATAAAGACCAAGATAGCATGACTTTCAAGTACCCCATGCCCTGTTCCTAAATCTGGCCTCTGCCTCTACTAGTCACACCGGCTTCTGCCTTCTGAGGTCCTGTAACTGCGGTCTTAACAAGGTGCCTTGCCCCCTTCCTGCCTCAGGGCCTTTGCCCATGCCATTTCCATCACCAGGAATGTTGGTCCTGTGTTCCTTGTAGTCTCCTCGTTTGGATCCTTCAGTTCTAAGAGCACTTCTGGGAAGCCTGTCCATCCCAACCTCCTCAGGCCCCAATGTTGTCATAGCGCGGATCAGCCAGCCAGGCAAGTCTGGCTGGAGAATGTCACATGGCAGAACAGATATGTGTTGCTAACAGTTTTGGATCATTTCCCACCTTGCCTGGCAGTCCTATTATATTTTTCTGATCCATTCTTGTCTCCTCCTTGATGTGACTCTTTCAAATGTTCTTAACCTTCAGACTTTACTTCCTGCTTCAAGAAACAAAATGAGGCCATGAGAATGGAACTCCCCACAACTTGCAGCCCCCAAAGCCTGCAAACTAAGTTCCCTCCCTTGTGTTACAGGGGAGGAGGGTACCATTTTCCTCCCCTCAGACCAGGTCCCTGACTTGTGCCCTGGCTTCTTTCTTCTGCCACTTGCTCCAGAACCTGACCCTTTCTCTCCTGGGAGCTTTTCACCACCCTCACTGATCCTCTGTCTCGGCCTTTATATGTGCCAGTGGCTCTGTCCTAAAAACTTGTCTTTTCACCCCACCACTGACCCTGCTACTCCCAGCCATCACCTAATCACCTCCCTCACCTTCATTGCTGACTCCCCTCTAAAGAATTGCCTATGTTCTCCATTTGCTTCAGGCCCCCTCATCTTTCAGATTCCATAGGTGGTTTTTGACTTTCTTCTTGAAGTGATTGAGCACTCCTACTTAAAGCACTGTCTTCCCTTGCCTTCGTACCATGCTCTGCTGCTTTTCCTCTTAACTGTCTAGCCCTTCTCCTTGCTCTTTCCTTCAGCCTCACATAGCCAAACTCTGTGTCTCTACTTGGCTGATGTCCCAGAAGTGCCTCGCTTGTTGGAGATTGAATCCATCACCTCCCCAATGGTGTTCCTGAGCGGCCTCTCCCCTACCCCTCCCTTGCTTATCTTCCTTCTAAGCATCCGAAGCCCATCCTGACCCTGGAGTCTAGGCCAGGGCCCTTTGTTCTAGGGCATTCTTCCTTTGCTGAAGGCACTGACCTCAGTTTGTAGTTAGACCTTCATTAGGGGATTACCGGACGACCCTCTCTGCCCTCTTAGACTGTAAGCTCCGTGAGGGGTAGGGACATGGTCTGCTTTTGTTTGCCACTGTATTCCTGCAGGGCCTGCCACGGTGCCTGGCACTTAAAGGCGCTCAATAAATGTTTGTTGAAAGAATGAGTGTGAGTTATTTTTTTAAATGTCTTCCTCTACACGGTATTGTAAGCTTCTCAGTTGAGTGTGCTCACCATTGTGTCTCCAGGGTCTGTCACTGGGCTGATGCACAGTGAGACCTCAATGATTTTTAGGTCCCCCATTGCTGAATGGATAGGGGCCCAACTTGCTATCTGATTTGGTAGTCTTAGGGTAAACCAGAACAATCACAGTTGAAACAGGACAGGCCAAGGGCCATCTTAGTTGTCTGGAAAGTGAGGTTTTATTTTTTTTTAATTTTTATTTTAATTTTATTTTTTTGGAAAGTGAGGTTTTAATGAGAAAGTGATCCTCCTTGACTCCACAGGAAATTGGTAGACCATCATGGTTAGGGAAGTGGACTGAGGCTACATGCTATGGAAGAGGCAGAGCTGGGATCTGAGCAAGGGTGGTCCCATTCTAGTTCCCCAGTTCTTAACTGCCGTACCAGGCCAGGTGATGCGTCTTACCAGCCGGGCATTGCTGGGCAAGTTGCTTTCCTTTTCAGAGCCTCAGTTTCCCTCGATGGGAATTTGGAGGGGATTACTGTTTGTTAGCACTTCATAGGCGATTTCCCACTATTTTCTCAATCCACCCAACAGCCCTCAGAGGTAGGTATTACCATTATAGCTTCATCACAGATAAGGAAACTGAGGCATAGAGAAGTTACATAACTTGCTCCAGGTCACACAGCTGGTAGGTGGCAGAGCTGAGGCTATTCAAAATTACATGTCCTGACCCCTTACCAAGATGCGAAATTCATTTCCTGGGTTCCAACAAATATTAAAGAAAAAGAACTAGCATAGGAAATAATCATTGTGCATCACAACATGTAGTGAAGGTAAGTGTTATTTCATTCAAAGAACAACTGTTTTTCAGTTCTGTATAAGTATGTATATTCACACATGTATGAGTGTTGCTGGGTTACGATGTAAAATGTATTTCTACTGTGGGTCATGGCCAAATGAATAAAGTCACTGCTGTAAAAGAAGCTCATAGCATGGATAAACTGCTCTCCTCCCTCCACCCTGCTGGATGGGCCATTAAGTCCCAGGGTTGACATCGACACACAGTGTGGCTGGGGGAGGCAGAGCGGTGCCCCACTTAACGTAGTGGCTTTCACAGCCACTTCAAACCCTGTTCTTTTCAGAAAGCAGATGGCTTGGGGGAACCGGGATTCCAAGTATCATGGGGCAAGTTTCTGAAGCCACCCGACCCCTGGAGAGTCAGCGTTCTCTTCTAGTTGACTGCATGGGAGCTGGGGTCTGCTGACTTTCCCTCTGGGTGTCAGTGCATGACCCACTTTGGGCTGGCCAAGTTCTTTGAAAACAGCGCTGGGGATGCTCACAGAGGACTTGGGCGGTGCTGGCAGGGATGTGAGTGCTCTGAAAGTCTGCTTTGCTCCTCTCTATTGGGGGTTGTCAGCCCTCCCCTGCTCTCTGGTTCTGGTGATGCACTCTTTTTTGGTTCTGTCTTGGCTGGCCCAGGCTGGGGCCAACGGCACCTCTTTCTGAAATCTCACCTTCTGGTCTCTGCGGGTGCCATCTAAGGTGAGCCACCAAGTTTCCTGATGTCAGGAGGAATTTTCATGCCCAGGAGACTGGCGCACAGGCCCGGTGTGACCTCATCTAGGCTGCGCTGTCTTGACTAGTTCTCAAGAACACCCAAAGGATGCATCCCAAGGGGTTCCCAGGCCTGTCCTCGGCCCATGACTGCCCACTGCCCTTGAGAAGGTACCACGTGGCATTTGTGGAGCTGGTGCCAAAAGAGCAGGTTTCCTTCTCGAAAATTAGCAAGCACCCTGAAGGTACAGTTTTGTTCTTAATCTCCTCCCTCCCCATTTTTCTAAGAAGCCCTCTTCTCTGTTACTGATCAGTGAGTCAGTACATACTTGTACTCCATTTCTCTTACTATCCTCCTTTTGATTAAAGTCATAGCTGCCCCTGAATGTTTACTGTGAAAGACAGTTGAAAGATATTTAGGTTCCCCCCCCCTTTTTTTGTGTTTCAGCCCACAGTTTCAAACACCTTCTTCAAAATGGAGCCCTCTTTGGATTGTTATCAGCGTGGCATGTAGTTAGTGGGTGTAGAGACATGGTTCCTTGAGCCTCAGTTTCCGCATTTGTAAAAAGGGAAGGGTGTTGCTTTGAAGGATAGATGTGAAGGTTTTCAAATGACTTGGTGTATCAATGAAAAGGGCCCACGTTGGAGGAGATGAACAATAAAAGCTTGTGCCTTCTGCTTTCATCTCTCTGACTTCAGAGGTAGGGAGAGTGACCTATGTACTTCTGCTGACTTTGTGGATCTTGGGATCAGCTGAATTGCTTGACCTGATTTTTGGATGTTTCCCCTCTTCTCATGCTCCTCAGCTGCAGAAGAGATGCTCTGGGGGCTGAGGGATTTGTTTTGTGTTTGTTTTTCTTCTCACTCTCTTTCCTTCAACTGAACTGTGGAGTTCTTTCTTTTCCTCCCGCTTTTCTCTCTCCCATACATCTAGGACTCTGGAGTGGTGTTCAGAAGCCTGGTTGCTGTGCATGTCAGCACTGGGCCAGATGACAGGGGATGGCTTGCCTGGTCCTGCCCCTGGGAGGGAGAGCTGCCCTTCTGTCTGTCTGTGGGTCTTCTTTAAGAGGCTTGCTTTAGAAGATCCTAGGAAGATGACATTTTCTCTAATGAAGGATGACGCCAGCAGAAGAAGTCAGTAGAAATCGTGTTGGGCCACAAGTCCAAAGACGTGGATTTTAAACTTACTGAGGGGGACTGCTGCAGGACCAAGCTGGTTTGTTCCAAATCTTCCTCTCTTATCCATGATGCTCAGGTGTTGATGGCTGGGCTTCTGGAGTCACTCACTCCAGGGCCTTGTAGTATTCAGATTAAAATGGCTTTGGGGAGATGCATGAGCCCTAGCCCATGGAGAAAGACAGTTCCTTTTGGAGTTTCCAGACTCTAGGTCCGTGTACCTGGTTCAGATTTCTTCCCTGAGGGATCTTGCAGTCACTTTTGTGTCTGGTGGTCTCCTAGCCACATGTCCCAAGATGGCATGGAAACTGGGAATGACTATATGGGCAAAGGACAGGTCCAAAGGAAAACCTGAATGAAAGAAGAGGAAGAGATCTTGTCTATTATTGCTACCCCCTGCCTGTCTACTTCTGGAGAGGATCAGAGATGGCGTTGGGGTAAGACCCCAGTTTCCCTTGTCCAGGAAGTAGCAGTTTGTCTATTGAGAGCACATATTTAGACATAGGAGCTGGAAGGCTTAGGTTTCAATCCTTGCAGCATGACCTTGAGCAATTTACTCGGCTTCTGCTTTATCTGTGAGGTGAAGACAATACCGCCTACTTCAGAGGATTAAAAGTACCTACCTCATAGGATTGCTATGAGGATTAAATTAACATATGTGAAGTGCACAGAACAGTGCCTCACATCAAAGTAAGTATTATATTCAGGTCAACTAGTGGTACTGAGTTTCTGTGAGGTCACTGTGTGTTTTCAAAAAGTTGCAACCATCTGCAGAAATGTCAACATCATCATATTACCTTTTAAAAGAAAAAGGTCTGAGCCATTGCCTCAGCTCCTCTCTGTCCCTGCACATGTTTTTGTTAATGCTTCCCTCTCATTTACCTTAATCTGTAAACATTCGATACTCGTTTCTGAGAACGAGAACAGTGATGTCTCCATGATCCCTGTGACCTGCCCCCCTGGCAGAGGCTGGATGAAATACACTTGGCTTATGCCACTTAAACCTCGGGGTCTGACTTGCCTGGTGGAGGAGGACCAATACTAATAAGTATCTACAGTTGATCCACCCCTGCTCTGCACCAGGCCCTGGTGTCTGGCTCAATGTCTTCATTTCTCTTGCCTTTACTGTGCTTGGTGTGCACATCCTGGCTCTCCTGTGCTCTGTTTTAAGGTGAGGAGGGTGAGGCTCCAAGAGGTTGAGTGGCTTGCGAGGCTGACATGATGATGGGTGGAGGGTTGGTGGAGGGACCCGGGCCTTTGTGAAGCCTGAGTTATTTCCTTTTTCTGCTGACCTCCTTCCTGTTCTCCAGTCGCTTCCATACTCCCCTCTGCTGCTTTCCGAGTCCTACAGTCTTCATCTGCCCTTTCTTGGAAAAAGTGGCTTCCTCTACAACTGGGAGTATACCCCACAGCAACGATCCAGCATGTTCATAAAGCTATGCCCAACAATGTCTGCTGGAGCCTGCTTTGTGAGAGCAGAATGAAGGAAACAAGCTAGCTGCTCAGTAGGATGGGAATGGGTACATACATTATGGTGAGCCTATATGATGGTAAACAGCCATTTCAAATGTTTGCAAAAGTGTATTAGTGATGCTTCTTATGGTTAAATGGACAAAGCCAGCTGTGAAATTATGTCTTCAGAATCTAAGTGATTTTGTTGAATCTTTGCAATGAAATTTTCCAAAATGGTAATTGCGGTTGCCTTTGGCTGATGTGTGACTCTTTCACTGATTCTTTCTGCTTTTCTGTGTTTCATAAAATTTCTACAGTGAGCGTGTAGGGCTTTTCTAATCAGGGGATAAAAAGAGGCAGCAGAAGGGAAAACAACCACTGTCATGTGAGGATGGGCCACCACAGAGGCTCAGAAGGTGCCAGTGGGTAGCAGAACTGGCCTCTGGGGACATCAGATCTATGCATTCTCCCTTTTGTCCCACAGGCCTAATGAGGAAGAGCTGAGGATGAAGAACACCGATGATAACCTCTCCACTGTGGGTAAGCAATTGGCAGGCTGTGGGGGTTTGGGCTTATATTTACCATTTCTTTCTTTTTGAAAAAAAATATTTTAAATGTTTATTTTTTGAGAGAGAGAATGAGAGAGAGAGAGCGAGAGAGCGCACAAGCCGGGGAGGGCCAGAGAGCAAGGGAGACACAGATTCCAAAGTGGGCTCCAGGCTCCGAGCTGTCAGCACAGAGCCTGATGTGGGGCTCAAACCCACAGGCCATGAGATCATGACCTGAGCCAAAGTCAGACACTTAACCAACTGAGCCACCCAGGCACCCCTACCATTTCTTTCTTTCTCCCTGTTTTCTTTCTTACAAATTAAGAGATTCTCTCTGCCTTAGACTAGCATAGAAAGCTTCAGGGGCAAAGCTGCCAAGTGGCCAAAAGAGCAGATTTTTCTTAACTAAATTGGGCCTGCTTGGACACCTGCTTCACTCCAATGCTGCTCTTCTCCTATCTCTAACAGAACACCCTGATGTCCAGGAATCAGTGGGTCCCCTGGTGGCCCCCACCCCTCTCCGTCCATGGCCTCAGATGACACTTCAGGTAAGTAGGCCTCAGATGACACTTCAGCTTCTGGATGGACAGCCCAATGGGAGACTGGGTGGTGGGGGCTGACTTGCTCCAGGTCTACCCTAGGTCTGAGGGAGGCCCCCCTGCAAATCAGAACCTGATGGTAGAAGAAAAGTAGAGTGCAGTTATTCACCTGAGGTTATAGAAAGGTCATTTGTTAATTTAGCAAATATTTAGTGACTGCTTGCTCTTTGCCAAGCAGTTATGGACACTGGGAATATGGTAGTGACCAAAAATGCTGTCTTCATGGGGCTTACTTGCATTTTAGTGGAGTGAGACATGACAAAACAAAATAATAGCTAAAATATATGATATTTTATTTTATTTTTAGGAAGTTTTTAAAAAATTATTTTAGAGAGAAAGTGAGAGTGGAGGAGAGGGCCAGAGGGAGAGAGAGAGAGAATCTTAAGCAGGCTCCATGCTCAACATGGAGCCCGATATGGGACTGGATCCCATGACCCTGGGATCATGACCTGAGCCAAAATCAGGAGTCAGATGCTCAACTGACTGAGCCACCCAGGCACCCTAAATTATATGGTATTTTAGATGATGATGAGTGCTAAGGAAAAAAAAAAAATAAAGGGATGTAGAATGTGTGTGTGGGGGGGGTGATAATGTGCACATGTGCACGGGTGAGACACAGCCACACACACACAGGAGTGGAGGGAAGTCTTGTGAGTTTAGATCCAGTGGCCAGGGGAGGCCTTAGTGGTAAGTGAGTTTTGAGCAAAGATCTGGAGAAGGTGAGAGTGAGCCACATGGATAATTAGGGGAAGAACATCCCGGGCAGGTGCAAAGTCCCCCGGCAAGGCCATGATGATTGTATGTGAGGAATAGTGAGGAGCAGTGGCCGGGGGTGGGGGGTGGGGGGTTGTGGGAGCAGCAGGGAGTGAGGTCAGACAGGGGGTAGGGTACAGATTGTGTAGGGTTTTGTGGGCCACGGAGTGAACTCTGGCTTTTACTCTGAGTGGCAGGGGAGCCACGGAAGGGTCATGAGCAGAGGAGGGCCGTGATCTGACAGGATTTAACAGGCTCCCTCTGGCTGCTGTGAAGAAAATAGGCTGTGGGGGCGGGGGCAGGAACAGGGGACTCTGAGGGGGAGGCTACCGCAGTGGTCCAGGTGAGCAGTGCTGGCAGGGATATAGAGAGAGAGATTCTGGAGATGTAGGTTACTGTGTGTGTGTGTGCGCGCGCGCGCGTGGGTGTGGGTGTGTGTTTTAACTTTTTAGTACAAAGATTTTCAAACACACAGAAGTAAAGAGGCTAGTATAATGAACTCACATAGGCCCATCACCCAGGTTCAACAAATTTCAGCACTTGTCAGATACCTACTTTTTCCTTACTCCCCCCTCCCCCATTTCCTATGGAATTATTTTGGAAAAACTCCAGGCATTATCTCATCCATAAGAACTTCAGTTTGTATCTCAGAAAATTAAACACTCATCAAAACACACGCGCGCGTGCATCTGCTGCAATATCATGCCTCGGGAAATTAACAGTCAGTCCTTCATGTCATGAAATATTTAATCAGCGTTCAAATTTCCTTATCTCATAGGTGTTGTAGGACTCAAACCAGGTCAACACATTGCATTTAGTTGATGGGTCTTTTTTTTTTTTTTAATGTTTTATTTATTTCTAGGAGAGAGAGAGAGAGAGAGAGACAGCGTGAGCAGGGGAGGGTCAGAGAGAGAGGGAGTCAGACTCTGACTCTGAAACAGGCTCCAGGCTCTGAGCTGGCAGTCAGCACAGAGCCCGACGCGGGGCTCGAACCCACGAACCACGAGATCATGACCTAAGCGAAAGTCGGACGCTTAACCGACTAAGCCACCCAGGCGCCCCTTGATGGGTCTTTTTAGATTTTTAAATCTCCCCCACTTTTCTGGGAATTTGTTTGTTGGAGAAACCTTGTTTGTCCTTTAGAGTTTCCCACAGTCTGGTTTTGGATGACTGTATCCATGTGGAAACACCTTTCTTACTCTATTTATTAATATATTAATTCCATTTAATTGATGTGCTCTATTAAATTGAATTAATGTATTTAACTATCAATTTTGTTCAATTGATTTATTAAATACAATCTATTATTATTAAACTCATTTAACTAGAATTGGCCCTATTTAATTCTCTTATTCCATTTCATTTATTAATTGGAAGTCTTCTCTAAAATAAAACTTTCTTGTATCAGCCATTTGGCTACCTTGAGGGTATATAGTTTGTACTGAAAAAGCTGTATAAATACTTCACTTTTTCCCTCTTATTTACCAGTTTTCAGAAGAAATGAACTTTTCCAAGGGTGATCAATTAAAGGATTTTTGGTTTTGGTGTATTATTAACTCATGAATTTTAAACATATTTGATAAATTTTAATACATTGCATTTATTTGTTTTGATGCTTGAATTGAACTATTTCTGGTCAGTGTGAACTTACTTACATTGGTTCCAGATTCCTTGTGAACCCACTCCCTATCCTTTGAATACTTCCTCACACAGTGGAATGACAATATGTCCTAGACTCATCTTGGGCTTTCCCTGCCTGAAACCTGGAAGCAGCCATTTATTTTTTTAAAAAAGCTCTGGTTCTTTTTAGTGGAGAATGGCATTTAGAAATCAAGATCTGGGTGCTAGATGTTTTTGTTGCTGCTAGATTGGTCATTGTTTCTAGGCCTTGTCAAAATAAATTTGTTTTAATTTTTTTAAACATTTATTCGGCTTTGAGAGACAGAGAGAGACAGAGTGCGAGTGAGGGGAGGGGCAGAGAGGGAGACACAGAATCCAAAACAGGTTCCAGGCTCTGACCTGTCAGCATAGAGCCCATTGTGGGACTCAAATCCACAAACCACAAGATCATGACCTGAGCCGAAGTTGGACACTTAACCGACTGAGCCTCCCAGGTGCCTCGAAATAAATTTGCTTTAAAAGAGAAAACACTTGAACTCATATGGATATTCTGTATATGTTTTGGACACAAACCAACAGTATTTACTGAGAGCCATTCACCAAATATTGGTGCCCACTGAATTCCTTAGCTTTACAATCTGCAAGAAGTCCCTTTTCACTCCATTTGATTGTGTTATTTTAATACAGATGACTTAGGTTTTTGAGTTTGGAGAATTATAGAGGACTCTTTAAGGAGTATTTATTTGGAAACACCTGTGGGGCTGGGTGTGGGCTGTCACCAGCTCTCACTGTCTCTGCTTGTCCCAACCCCTCCTGTACCTCTTTCCTTCCCCTTTCTTTCCCCTCCCACCTTGCCCCCCCCACCCAATGGCTCTAGGTTCCTGAAGTTACAGTGACTGGCAAACCCCCAGAGGAAGGTGACATCCCCAGAAGCAATCCGCCCGTGGCTTTCACAGAGATCCCCCAGGCACCGGTCATCAGGATTCTCCCCTCTTCCTCTCACTCTGGCCTGGGTGGCTCCCCCAGGGACCAGGCCTCGGGGCCCGATGCAAGTGAGGGGGCAGCTGGGCCTCTCCTGGAACCCAGCCAGCAACAGGTGGAGGCCATGTGGGAAGTATCAAGCGAGAATGGAGGGGGCCGAAAGGACTACATGGTGGGGGCTATTATGGATGAACCCCCTGGGGGTCTGGAGGTCGTGAGTGGGTTGGAGGAGCTGCTTGGCGAGGACACCATTGACCAGGAGCTGGAGCAGCTCTACCTGTCTCACCTGAGCCGCCTGCGGGCTGCCGTGGCTGCAGGTGGGATAGGAGGTGGTGGGGAGGGCCCCACAGATGGGGGGGTGTCCCCTAGCCATCCCCTGGGCATACTCACGGACCGGGACCTGATCTTAAAGTGGCCTGGCCCTGAGCGGGCTCTGAACAGTGCCCTGGCTGAGGAGATCACACTGCACTATGCGCGTCTGGGGCGTGGTGTAGAGCTTATCAAGGACACTGAGGACCCTGATGAGGAGGGGGAGGGTGAAGAGGGGCTCTCCATTATACCCTCCAGTCCAGAAGGGGATACCCCCAAGGAATCGCCTCCGGAAATCCTCTCTGGGGCCCATTCTGTGGTAGCCACTATGGGAGATGTGTGGCTCCCGTGGGCAGAGCGCTCGGAATGTGACAGCCCCGTGGTTCTAGGTACAGAGGGTCAGTTTTCTGGGGCTCCAGAAAAGGGGTTGTACAAGGACACTGATTCTTTGCACATGAATAAGGTGACAGCTGGAGTGACCAGGTCCCTGGCGGGGGAAGAAGGCCGGAAGGAGTTTACCACTGAGTGGTCAGACAGCTTGGTTCCTATATCTGGCAAGGAGCCAGTTGCTCCAGCCCTACGGGGGCAAAGTCTCACCCTTCTTGGTCTTTCGGGGACTGAAGTCTGTCCTTCCAGCCTGGCCAGGCCCCATGTGAGCTCCCAGGATGAAGAGGGTTCAGGCCCAAGCCTTGAGCCCCCAAAGAGGTCTCCCACCTTAGCAGCCCCTGCAGAATGTGTGTGTGTATTGCCTCCCCAGCTCTGGGGTCCCTTGACCCAGACTCTGGGGGTCCTGGCTGGATTGGTGGTCGTCCCTGTGGCTCTGAACAGTGGTATGTCTCTCCTGGTGCTTGTGCTGTGCCTCTCTCTGGCCTGGTTCTCGTAGGAGCTGCTTTTAGAGAGCAGCAATAGCAGGCTTCCCTCTCTCTGGGATCTGGGGAGAGGCAGTCCCTGCACCACCCCTAGGGGCTTCAGATGGGACATGTGGCCTGTGTAGTGAGAGATCTTTTGCTTCTGAGGATGCTCGACTGGAGAGAGACCTTCCTATCCCCGAGGTCTTGTCAGCATAGGGCTCCCTGAGGAGGGGAACAGGGCATGGTGGATGGTGTGGGATGACTTTCAGAAAGGAACTGGGCATGTCCTCCCTCCGCCCTCCCTCCCCCAAGCCTGTATTTATTTTTGTATAATTCTCTGGATGAGGGAGAGTGGTCATGAGCTGGTCTTGGGGCACAATTACCCAGAGATATATTTATTAACAGCCAACCTGTGCAACCTGCTGGAGCTTTATTTTTAATTTAATTTATATAGAGTACCTATTATTATATGCCACAATAGAGCTCTATGAGAAATGATGTGTCTTTCTGTGTCATGTTCTCCTGTTTGGGCCTGAGCATACAGGACGGTCGTGTTCTGTGGGAGGGCCGGGGCGGGGAGCGTGTGGTTATGCCTGCTGCTGCTGCTTCAATGTGCCCTTGAGGATATGTGTCACCTCACCTCATGGGCCTTCTCCGTGTGGTCTGGTGGTCTTTGGGGGGGGGGGCGGTGGAAGGTCCTTTGGTCTTTTCCATATTCTGCCAGGGAGGGAGGAAGAGTGGTTGCCATATGAGGGTTTGGTGTCAAACACGTGGCTGCAGTGGTGGATGTGGTCCGCTATAGATGTGGGGATACCGGTTGTGAATCAGCCACAAAGTTTTGAGGTTACCAGAAAAAAAAAACAGCCTTTGACACCAGGAGTGAGACCCCTTTCCCACCCCACCCCCAAGATTGGGAAGGTCTCAGAAAGGACAGAGGAGTTAATGTGCTGTGAAGAATTAATACTGGAGTTGCTGTCCACAGACCTTGCATTTCTAACTCAAAACAGGAAACTCAGAACCTTTGACAGAAAGACTAGATATATTTACCGCATGCAAATAAAAATCTCTGCATAGCAAAATGACACACCATATATTTATTTACTTCCCCTCATAGCGAAAATTTATACCAGCTTTCTTCAGTTCTCTTCCAGGGCCCTGGTGCTTTTCTGAAATAACCCCAATCAGGTTGCTTGCCTGACCACGTCAGCAAAAGTTGCTGAAGTCACTGGTGATATTCACATTGGTATATCAGTGGCCACATCCCAGACTTCATCTTACTTGACCTATTGGCAGCATTTAGCACAGCTGGTCATCCCCTCAACCTTGAAAGCCTTCTTGGTTTCCAGGACAGCACACTTGCCCAGTTTTCCTCTTTCCTCATTGGCCACTATTCTAGAATAGTGCCTGGCACATGGAAGTTATTCAGTACATATCCACTAAATGAAATAAATAAAGGAACAAATAAACCTATGTGGGCAAATACAGAAACCTGGCTAGAGAACTTAGTTGGCCATTCAGTGGTCACAGGCTCAGTTCAGTTCACTGATGTTGACTGACCACCTTTTCTCTGCTCTGAGGACACAGAGAAAGGATCTCACAGTCTAGTGAGGGAGACAGATACAGAGAAAGGATTTTATTGCAGTGTGGTTGGTGCATTTGCAGTGATGGGGGCCCCAGAACAGATGTTCAGCCCATTGTGGGGATTCTGGAAACCTTTTTTGGAGGGTATGGTGCCTGAAGTGAATTAAAATATGAGAAGGAATCCACCAGGTAGTGAAGGGGTAAAAAGGGAAGTCCAGTCAGAATGAATAGCATTGCAGAGGTCTGGAAGTGGAAAATAGCTACTGAAAACAAATTCAACACCCCCTTTTTTCACCTGCGTTTCAATGAGGATATTATGACTTGGTCAAATATCAAATTCCAGACTATGGGTTCATAGTCTTACATTGATGTGATAATTTGCTCAATGTCCAAAAAGGCAACTTTATGCCAACTGGATTAAGAAAGTAGATAAAATGGGAAAATCACTCAAATTACTACAGACATGTAACTTGCCAAAATTGTCTCAATAAAGGGAAAGTTGAGCAGTCCTATGATCACTAAAGGTAACAGAATCTATAGCCCAAAATCTCACATGGAAACTCTGGGCCCAGATGGCTTCACTGGTAAAATACTCAAGGAACAAATAATTTTGATTTTGCAAAAGCAATTTCGGAGGGCAGAAAGAGGGAGCATTTCTAATACGTTTTATGGAGCTGATACAACCTTGATACTAAAACTTGATGAGTGAAAAAAAAATATTACAAATATCAAGAAAATATACACATACTTTGAGTAACTGCCCGTCTTAGTCTGTTTAGGCCACTGTGACAACATAGTGTAGACTAGGTGGCTAGAAAACAACATTTATTACAGTTCTGGAGGCTGGGAAGTTGAAGATCAAAGCACCTGCAGAGTTGGTGTCTGGTGAGGACCAACTTCCTGGTTCATAGATGGCTGCCTTCTAGTGGTGTCCTCACATAGTGAAGGGGCAAGGCTGCCCTCTGGGGTCTCTTTTATAAGGGCACTCATCCCATTCCTGAGGGCTTCACCTTTCATGATCTGATCACCTCCCAAAGACCCTCCCCACCTCCTAATAATATCACATTGGGGATTAAGTTTCAACATATGACTTGTGAGGGGACATGGTTATTCAGTCTATAGCACTGCCTATGTCCGATATATTTAAAAAGTATAATATAGCCAAGTTGGATTTATTCTAAAACTGCAATGTGGTTTAGCATTCAAACTCAATCAGTATAAGTTACTTCATTAGCATATTAAAGGAGAAAAAACACATTAATCTTTTTTTTAATAGTTTATTGTAATGTTGGTTTCCATACAACACCCAGTGCTTATCCCCACATTAACCTTAATAGATGTAGAGAAAGGGTTAAACTTTGACATCTGTTTGTGTTTAAAAACCTTAGCAAATTAGTTGATAAATGTTCTTAAAAGGTATCTATAAGGATTTACATACAGTAAACTACATAGTTCAAATGAATTTTAAGAGCTCTGACATTTGGAACATGGCAAGAATGTCTCCATCACCATTTCTACTCACCATTGTCCTGGAGGGCCTAGTGAGCACAATAAGGCAAGGAAAAGAAATTTCAAATATTTCAAGATTGGAAATGAAGAACAGAATTGTCATTATTTATAGATGATACCATTGTGTATATAGAAAATCCAAAATAATCTATGGACAAGGTATTAGAATTATTAAGAATTTAAAAATTTCTGATACAAAAACCCATATTCAAAAATCAATTGAGGGGCACCTAGGTGGCTCAGTCAGTTAAGCGTCTGACTTGTGCTCAGGTCATGATCTTGCAGTCCGTGAGTTCGAGCCCTGCTTCGGGCTCTGTGCTGACAGCTCAGAGCCTGGAGCCTGCTTCAGATTCTGTGTCTCCCTCTCTCTCTGTCCCTCCCCCACTCTCTATCTCAAAAATAAATAAACATTTAAAAAATAAAAGAATCGATTGCTTTTATATGCTAACAACAGATAATTTTAATAAAGATAACCATTTATGAACTACTTAGAAATTAACAAAAGTAGGTGAGATATTTCTTTTAAAAATTTTATTTTTAAGGAAGACATTTTAAAAGATTAAATAAATAGATACACATGTTCATCGAATGAAAGATTCCATATGTGTGCACGTATAGGAGGACTAGGAGGAACTTAACAGAGGACCAATCGGGAGAAGAAGGGGGGAAATGGTGGGGGAAAGGGAGAGAGGCAAACCATGAGAGACTCTTGAATGCTGACAAAAACTGAGGACTGATGGATGTGGGGGGGAGGGGGGATGGGCATGGAGGAGGGCACTTGTGGGGATGAGCACTGGGTGTTATGTGGAAACTAATTTGACAATAAACTATTTGTAAAAAAAAAAAAATAAAAAAAAAAGAAGAAAGAATTGCAGCAATCTGATAATTCTAAAGCACTGAGTGTTATGTAGAAACTAATTTGACAATAAACTATTTGTAAAAAAAAAAATAAATAAAATAAAATAAAATAAAATAAAATAAAATAAAATAAAAAGATGATGGGGCAAAAAAAAATAAAAAAAAAATAAAAAAATATCTATTTCACAAAAAAAAAAAAAAGATTCCATGTCGTAAAGCTGTCAGTTCCCTCCAAGCTGCTTCATAGGTTCAATGTAAATATGATCATGATTTCAGTAGATTTGTGTGTGTCCATATCATAGCAAGTTAATTCTTAAATTCATGTGGAAGTGACGACTAGCCAGAACACTCATACTTATTTTTTAAGACATAGAAATTAAGATGGTGCAATATTGCTGCAAAGGTAAACAAATAGACCAATGGAAGACCAGCCGTCTTGGAAACAGACCCACTCATATGTAGTCATAGAGTAGGTGGCTGGGGAGGTATTATGAGTCAATCGGAAACAGCTGGACTTCAAAAAAATGGGACAATCCATTATCCAAATTGAAAAAAATGAAATTGGATCCTTACCTCACAACACAGAAATAACTAGGCAGATTCAAAACCTAAACGTGAAAAGCAAAACCAAAGAACTTTAAGAGTTTAATATACAAAAACACCTTCATATACTCATGGTAGAAAAGTTTTTCTTTTTTTTTTCTTTTTTTAAACATTCATTTTTGAGAGACAGAGAGAGACAGAGTGTGAGCAGGGGAGAGGCAGAGAGTGAAGGAGACACAGAATCTGAAGTAGGCTCCAGGCTCTGAGCTGTCAGCACAGAACGTAATATGAGGCTTGAACCCATGAACCATTAGATCATGACTTGAGCTGAAGTCAGACGCTTAACTGACTGAGCCACCCAGGCGCCCCTAAAAGTTTTTCTTAAACAAGACACAAAGCATTAACCATAAATGACAATTATAAAACATTCAGTTACGTTAAAATTAAGAATCTTTGTTGATAAAAAAAAAATCATTGGGGTGCCTGGGTGGCTTAGTCAGTCAAGCATCTGACTCTTGATTTCTGCTCAGGTCATGATCCCAGGGTCGTGGGGTCAAGTCCTGCATCAGACTCTGCATTGAGTGTGGAGCCTGCTTGGGATTCTCTCTCCTTCTGCCCCTGTCCACTGTTTGTGCTCTTTCTCTCTCTAAAATAAATAAACAAGTAAATAAAAACAAGAAAACAAACAAAAAACCACCATAAAGAGGGTGAAAACCACAACTTGGGAACAAATTGAGAGAAGATAATTCAAACACATATAACTGATGAAAAGCTCAAACCTAGAACATATAAAAAACTACAAATAGAAAAACCAGATGTGCTAACAAGTGTCTAAATAAATTTTATATCACAAAATGGAATATTGTATAATGAGAATTAAAAATCTACAACTACATGGAATAGCCTGGATGAATTGCACAGACATGACATTGAGCAAAAGAAACCAAACAGAAAAATGGGCAAAATGAATCTGTTACTGGTGGTAA